ACGTCGATGTCGGAGGAGACGGCGATGAGGTCCTCCAGAGAAGCAATGGGCCTTGCTGTGTGTACCAACTCGTCCTTGATGGAGTCCGCCAGGTGTTCGTAGAAGCGGTCTCGGAGGTCGGCCTTGGAGTAGCCTGTGCGGGTGGAGAGCTCGTTGAACCGTGCGGCGTACTCCGGAACAGTCATGGTGCCTTGCCACAGTGTACGGAGGCATTCCTTCGCATCGACCGCCTCGTCAACTGTCTCGAAACGGGCCTTGAACTGGGTGCGGAACTCCGTCCACGAGCCTTTGAACGGGGTGGTGCCCTACGTCATCTCCTCCATCGCTGGGGTGGCCCAGAGAGCTGCACTGTCCTGCATGAAGGAGAGGACCGCCCGAATCCATTGGTCATCGCGCGCACTGATCGCGTTGCCCATAGCATCGACGTAATTGAGCGTCGAACCTTGGGACATGGCCCAGAGGGTGAACGCTGCCAGGAAACGTCATGCCTCACCCCCTTGTTCGCCTTTGAAGGGGGAGGGCTTCTGGACCGCTTTCAGACTGTTGGCCCCGGTGGTCGAGGCAGTGAGCTGGGCCATAGACTGGGTGAGGAGGGTCATCGACTGGACGAGCATCGCCGTGGGGTCCGGGGGTTGGGTTGCCGTCTGGGTGCCCGGTTGGGCCTGTTGGGGGTTGTTGGCGGGGCCTATCGTCTGCGGTTGTCCACCTTGTTGTCCTATGATGGGTGGAGCGGACGGTGGGCGAGTTGGGGGGAGGATAGGGGATGGGGGAAGCGCGATGAGTAGTGCTACTTCGAGCTCGTCAGTCGGAGTACCGGGGATGGGGGATCGAGTCATAGGTGACTCAGCAACGGGGGAGTCCGGGACTGGAACGAACTCGTTCGCAAAGGCGTTCCAGTTAATCTGAGTAGGACGGTGATGACGGTTCGGGCAGGGGTTTTGCTCGCACGGTTCCCAGTACCAGAGTCCGTCGTCTGGGTCCTTTCGTCGGTGGCAGTACTCTTGGTCGTCGGTGTCCCACGCGTGAAGTCTGCCGGTGCAGTCCAGGGTGGGGAAGACAACGTAGTAGCGGTGGGGATGCCCTTGTTCAGAGCGTCAGCACCGGGGGAGAGATCTCGACCTAATGTCACGGCCACTAGGCACGTAGACTCGGGTCGACGTTCGGCGACAATCCTGTAGGCGAGCGGCAAGGAGCTGAAAGGGAAAAGAGAGAGAGGGAGAGGGATAAACGCAACAAGAAACTCGACGGGGCAGAGCGGAGGTCGGCACGAGGGCACAAGACCTACAAAAGCTAGTCTTCACGCAGACAGCGACAGACTAGTCCCAATGACCAAGTTATACATTAGCAATCGAAGAGAGATACAACGCTATGGTCACTCACCTAGTCCCAATGACCAAGAGGTTGAGATGGGGACTAGGGAGCGCCTAAGGGGGTCCTTATATACTGGAGGGGCTGCTTAGCAACCAAGGACAAGGCGCGAGAGCGAGGCAGTGAAGATGACAAAGGGAGAACAAAGGGCGAGAAGGAAAAGGTAAAGGCATGGCGATCACGGGAACGTAGCATGCGGGTGTGGGAACATATCTACAGTGTCCAAACTAGGATGGGCTCAGAAAGGAAATGGTCCGAAAATGGAAGGTGGGTGTCAAGGGGAGGGGAATGGGCGGCAAAAAGGGGCGTCTGTCCAACGTCCGTGACAGTTCCCACAGCCGCATGCTACGTTCCCGTGATTGCCATGCCCTTGCCTTTTCTTTCTCGCCCTTTGTTCTCTCTTTGTTATCCTCACTGCCTCGTTCTCGCGCCTTGTCCTTGGTTGCTAAGCAGCCCCTCCAGTATATAAGGACCCCTTTAGGCGCTCCCTAGTCCCCATCTCGACCTCTTGGTCATTGGGACTAGGTAAGTGACTATAGTGTTGTATCTCTCGTTGATTGCTAATGTATAACTTGGTCATTGGGACTAGTCTGTCGCTGTCTGCATGAAGACTAGCTTTTGTAGGTCTTGTGCCTTCGTGCCGACCTCCGCTCTGCCCTCGTCGAGTTTCTTGACACGTTTATCCCTCTTCTCTCCCTTTCCCTCCTTTCAGCTCCTCGCCGCTTGCCTACCGGGTTGTCGCCAAACGTCAACCCGAGTCTACGCGCCTAGTCGCCACGACAATCGGATCCATGTTGGAAGGGAGCTTGGCCATGAGCATCATGCCCTTGACGTGGTCGGCAACGACGAACTTGTTCGTCTTGAGACATTGGAAGTACGCCTTGAACTTGTCCAGGTTGGGGACAGGGTTCGAGTCGGCCAGAACGGAGAGAGCAAAGGCAGCCCGGAAGTCTTGGTAGACAGCCGGCATGCCAGGCTTGCCGTAGGTGGTCTCGAGGTAGTCCCAGATCCCCTTGGCAGTCGTCTGAGATGACACAGTGCTGTTAACGCTGGGGGCAAGGCGAAGGCTGATGTTGCCTTGGGCCTTGAGATCGGCATTGAGCCAGGCCTTTACCTCATTGGCGTCGGTAGGCTGGGTGTTGATGATCGAACCCCACCGGCCTTGCGCCTTGAGGTATGACCTCATCGGCTGCGCCCACTTGAGGTAGTTGCGGCCGTCGAAGGCGGTGGGGACAGCACTGTAGAGAGCACCAGACATGATGTCGAGAGGTATGCTTCTAGAAGGGAGACTTGTCAGCCACACGCCTTCAAAGAACACAGTCGAGGCAGAGAGAGATCATGCCGACATAGGTTACCTCTCTGCGGCACTGTAGGCAGCGACGAAGCGCGCCACAACAGTCCACAGCGCATGCATGGCAGGCAGTGTATGATCGCGCCAGATCCAAGCAGTGTTTGCGCATTGATAACAATGGCAAAGATCCAGGTAAGCTGCGAGCTTACAGATCGCAGCACGCAATGAGCAGTGCAAAATCTGTAGTGCTGAGCAGGGCTCATAACCTGTTGAACCCAAGGGGCAAAGGCCTCTCCCATGAGTGGCAATGACAGCGGATAGCCTGCAACTCACCTAGAAGGGTTGTTGGTTGTAAGAGGCTTGTTAGAGCGATAAGAGGAGATGTTCGAGTGAACTGAACTGTAGATTGGGGGTACAGAGGTCCCCTATATATACTACTATACATCTGTGGCTACGTAGTACTATACAGTACCTTCCCAGGATGCACAGTCGCACAGAGAAGCAGTGCATACACAGTGAAGCTGTGTGTGTACCACATGAGTAGTACAGCCTCGGTTATTGCAGTAACCGGCTGTGCCGTTCCATCTGTTGTGACGGCTGTGTTAGGCAAGCTGTGTAAACCAGCACCTGTTCAACATCGCCAACTCAAGCATTGTTATAATAGATACAATGGTCCTGAGCACCCAGTGCCCGAAACAGAAGTTCGCACCATAAACGCCCGGGAACAAACATGGGCAAATAGCTTGCCGCGCGGATGCAACCTGCAGTGTTTTTTGCAAATCACTGTAAGCAACGACAACCGATTTGAGCATACTGCCAAGTCACATGACAACTAAGTGCGCTTAATCGGGTACAAAAGTGGAGGCGTTTAAGTGAACTGCACCATAGTATGTAGCTATTGTAGTATACTCCATGCATGTTGTACCATTCTGTACCTTGTTTAGATTATGTCATATCCTCGCAATATCATCTTCTCAATCATGTGCGAAAATCGAGCGAAATCGCCATAGTGTGTGATTATATAACACACCTTATTTGTGCAATCCAGCAAACTTCTGACCCATTCAAGCATGCTTGAAGAGGGTCTCGAAAATCAAAGGTTTTTGAGGCAAGTGATTGTGTCAATTGGCTTCGAATGGCCTGATTGGCTTTGGATATAATATGCTATCCCTATTGGATAGCAGTGGAATCAGAGAGAACTTAGCATGCTTGTAACAATCGGATGGTCAACTTGGACGACATATTCTTCAACGGCTTTGGACGTGCTGCAAGCCAATCAAAATGCAGTTTTGCTGATGGACATCTTTGCTGATCTACACCGCAGCGTCACGGTCAACGCGCACGCTTGAGCGGCGCTTGCCGCCACGTGGCCGGTTGTCATGCACATGCCCGAGCGGCCGCAATCTCAAGTCCAGCTTCCTTCAGGTCCCTTCGAATCTGCTCCCGACAACCGGTGTGGGTCTCTATAAAAGTTGAAGAGAAGGATGGATCGGAAGGAAGAAGAAGCATAGATAAGATCAATTTCCGAAACTGAGACTCCATATGACGCATCATAGGTGACTGGGAATATGGCTCGAGTGCGCATGCGAACGATGGATGTCTGTGGTAAGTCCCACCGCACCCACTCTTCGTTGTCATCTGTGAAATATAGGTACCACGAACTGGTCAACACAGGAAATGAATCTGCTTATAAGTGTCTGTGCGTGCGTTCTCTGTAAGTGGCAATCTACTGACTTGTCATCGCGAGTATTTACTCTAGAAACCTGGCCGGTATATGCCATCAGATCTCTGCAGGGTTTGATGTCTTCACCAAACGTCAGCCGACGAGGTTTGGGCCTGGTACGAGAGGCTGCTCCATTCGACGATGCCCAGAAGCTCACATGTGCTATCCGACCACTCCACGGATGCGCCGGATGATGAGCTTGAGCCAATGAATGGGCACGTAACAGTATGCGAAGAAGTCACATCGCCTTGTGATCTGTACGCTCTGCGCCTCTGTAGGGGCTCGGCGAGGTTGTGGGAGCTTGAAAGTCCATTTATGGCAGTGTGTTGACGTATAGGTACGAGAACGACTGCCATTCCCCTGTGGATTCGGGTCTTCGCGTGTGCTGTCTGACGTTCGTCCGAACCGAACAAATCCGACGGGGCTTTCTCAAGCCGCGCTTCTTCGCCGCAGCAAAATGTTGCCGTTTGTTTGGGCACTGTAAGTTACTATAACTTGCTTCGGGTCTATACACGATGAGCCTTTCATCCTATCCGGCTCTGACATCTGGGTTGAACGTAGCATTAGAGAGTCAAAACGTCTTCTATATCTAGTCTCTTCATCGCTCCGCTACTTACTCGCACGCCCCTGCCTACGTTCACGCTCTCATCATGGGCTCCGAAGCGTTGCAGGTCGCAGTGATTTGCACCATCTCCTGGGTGTTGTGGAAGTATTTTCGCCAGTACTTCGTGAAGTCGCCACTCGACAATATCCCAGGCCCTTCCTCGGGATCATGGCTCTACGGTTAGTTTTACATCTTCGTATGTGGGAACATTCCGATGCTTAGCCTGACCTGACAGGAAACCTAAGGCAGATCCTCCACAAGGACGGGTGGGATTTCATACAGCATCTTACTGACCGCTACCCGGGCATTGCGAAGCTCCACGGACCATTTGGGGTGTGTTTTGACCGATCGTTGCTGGTTCCCCGTTGAGTTCTGATCATAGCGCTGGTTTAGCATCGGATGCTCTATGTCTTCGATCCTACCGCCTTACATCATATCATTGTCAAGGATCAACAAATCTACGAGGAGGCAGCTTGGTTCATCAAGTGAGTCTCCCGTCCCTGCGGGCCTAGCTGATCCTCTCTAAATCATCACGGAAGGTTCAACCGTCTACGCTTCGGGCCGGGACTTCTAGCGACCTTAGGTTGGCATCTTCAGTGCGGGCGTAGAGTCATCGGTTGTACTGATGTTGGTCACGTAGGCGACGCCCATCGGAAGCAACGCAAAATGCTCAACCCTGTGTTCTCTCCGAACCACATGCGGCGCATTATTCCGATATTCGACAAAGTCGGTCGCAAGGTTGGTCCTATCGAACCCGACAAGATCTGAGCCTGCTGACTGGGTTTGGTGTTGACAGTTGCAGAGAGCAGTTGAGGGTCAAATCCGCGGACACAACGGACCAGTTGAGGTCGACATGCTTGTCTGGATGAGCCGCACTGCGCTCGAGTTGATAGGTCAGGCGGGTCTCGGCTACTCATTCGATCCTCTCGTGTCCGACACCCCCGATGAATTTGCAACAGCTATCAAGATGTTTGGGTAAGCTCCTCTGATTCCACCGCCTCACACAAGGCTCCGTTTGTAATATTGCAGCCGCTCATGATTCGGGCGCCCACCTATACAGACCCGCAATTGTTAAAATGAATCACCTTCGCCGGATCCTCCCGTATCTTCCAGAGATAGGGCCCCCTACCTTCCGCGCGAAGCTCGTTGATATGTTCCCGCATGATGGGGTTCAAGAGACGAAACGGTTTATTGATACCATGTATCGGCGGTCTCTCGAAATCTACAGAGGGAAGCTGCAAGCGCTGAGGCAGGGCGATGAAGCGGTCGCGAAGCAGGTTGGAGAGGGACATGACATTATGAGTATCCTGAGTTCGTATCACCCTTTGTTTTGCATCTCGTGAACTGAGCTTAATCTATGTTTGCAGTAAGGGCAAACACTGCGGCTGCAGATGAGGACAAGCTTCCCGAAGAGGAGGTCATTGCACAAATCTCGTGGGTAACACTCCATCCTCTTGGTGTTCGCATGACTTGCTGACCCACCATTTAGTACTTTCATCTTCGCCGGAATGGACACGACATCCAACGCGCTCTCCATCACGCTCGAGCGTCTCGCGGACCATCTCGATGTCCAGCAGAAGTTACGTGATGAGATCCTGGGCACATTCGACGACCAGGACAACTTCGACTACGACAAGCTCGTCTCTCTGCCATATCTCGATGCAGTCTGCAGAGAGACTCTCCGACTGTGAGTCATGGCCATATAATTCAGCCGTCTCGATCCCACTCAGACACAAGTTTATAGTTATGCCCCGGTCACGCAGGTCTTTCGCGAGTATGAGGACACTCCTCCACTTTCTCCGGTTTAACTCCTGACTACTCTTAGGACGCGGCAGGATATCGTGTTACCCCTGTCGGAGCCGTTCCAAGATATAGACGGCAAGATGATACAGGAGATTCCGGTTCCAAAGGATACGACGATCGCCGTTGGGATTCTCTCTGCGAATCGTAACAAGGCGATCTGGGGCGAGGACGCGATGGAGTGGAAGCCGGAGCGTTGGCTCTCGCCCCTTCCGGACGCTGTCACACAGGCGAAGATCCCGGGTGTGTATGCTAACCTGTACGTATATCCCTGTGCGTTTCTCGAATGTCATTCACTCCATTCCCATGACAGGATGACATTCATTGGTGGATCGCGCGCATGCATGTAAGTGGTCTTCTGGATCGCATGCTTTATCGTGCTTGCTTTTCGAGATGATGACATTCGTCCTGCAGCGGCTTCAAGTTCTCGCAGCTCGAAATGAGTGCGTTGTCTGATCCTTGGTACTCTCTGAGGCAAGAACTAACACAACGCTCGTTCAATAGAGATTGTTTTGTGTCTTCTCTTGGCAAAGTTTACATTCGCACCGTCTGGCAAGAAGATCAAGTGGAATGTAGCGAACGTTAGATTCCCGACTGTTGGAGACAACCCAAAGCCATCGATGCCCATAAACGTTGGCTTATATCGGAGGGAAGCGAGTGAGTGATCTCTATGTTGTAGCACTGCGATGGGATCGCGGTGTTGCGTTGGCTCAAGCACCTTGACGTGCGCGACGGTGGTCCGCCATGTATGAGTATAGAGGGTTAGCAGATGGCTCAGAGGCAGAAGTGTGTTGGCACAAAAGGTTGTCGTGATGAACGAGAGACAAAGCGAGAAATCATGATCCATGATAGGGCAGATCATCGAGAGGCATCGCCGTGGTGTGCAACGCCGAGAGTATCCAAGAACGCTAGAGGCAGACAAGCAAGACGGCAAAATGCCATAGTTAAAATAAGTGTCAAAACGAAGAAGGCGTATGCGGGCCTGGCCGAAGCACGCCAAGTGAGGTATATTGTGCGCCCGAAGGACCCACTTATTGGCTGCCCTTAGGCCTCGGGAGCTTGAAACTATGGTTTACAGTGGGTTGAAGGGTGGTGACCGTTCCAGCATGGGCCACCGCATCGACTGCGTTCCGCCCTCAAAACATGCTGGGCAACATCCCTGGCATTGTTGTAAGCAGATCATTTTCCTTCATGAAGCAGAGCCATATGTACAGCTAGAACCTCGATTACTACTTGATGCTACTTCTCCAGCAGATAGCCTCTATAAACAACTGGCCCACCGACAAGGCTTCGAAGCCGAGCAAGACAAGCAGAGCTAGTGTCATCACGACGACTCGCAGGGATGAGTTCCCATCCATCCCTCACACTATAGTCATCTCGCCACAGCCCCCACCTCCTTGTCTCGAATTCCCAGAATTCAAGGGCATGCAGCTTGGGTGCCCCTCTCGATGCACGCTGCTCCAGCATGGACTGCATCGCTGAACACCTCCGTCGGATGCGTTCTTCAACGTCCCACAAACGGTACATGGCCGTGTCGCATCCTCTAGGGAGGTTCGTCGGCCGATCTCGATGATCGTCCGGGGCAGTGATCTTCCAACCGAGAGATATGCTCGTCAAAGCGGCACAAGGTAAGTGCGTAGAGCTGGGAGAGGCCGTACATCCAACAAGCGCCGGAAGGACGAGATTGGGGCCGTCTGATCCACATACGGAAAGGTCGATCAGATGAGGAAAGGCTTGTAAGGCAGCAACCCAGTCATCAACGCCGTTTCTTCTGGCGTTCCATGGCCCATTATCCCATGCATCGGACACCTCCAGATGGGTAACGTGCACGGCCTGGAAGTAGTCCGGCAAGCCAAGATCGACCAGTGGTCCCGTATAATTGAAGTCTAGATCCCAGAGCTGTCGAGAGTTATTTGTGAAGCACTTCGATCTACACGACTTGTTCCCATTCACGCGTAGATAGACGTGATCGAACGGGTGTCTTTGAAAGAGATGACGAGGTAAGAAGTCGGGGAGGTTCGTTGTCTCAATTGCACCGATAACGATTAGCGCAGTGGGAGGAACAGACAAAGCGTTGAGCGCCCCAATGACGGCGTCGCCCGGTTCGTCATCGATCTCGAGCTTCTTCAGTGAGGGGAGGTGCACAACACCAGCTTGATCCGGGGTGGGCCATTCCTGTGGAGTCGTGCCTTCGCTGAGATGTAAGGTCTCAAGATGGGGACAGACGCGCAGCGCCTGCAGCAGATCCCGGGCTTCCAGCGACAGGTGAAGTGGAACGAAGAAGCCGTGCAAGGAGACATCTCGTAACGACTTGACCGCGAAATGAGGGAACAATACCCCTGGGGTGACCTGCGCCTGACGTAGGTGAGGTAGACTGTGAGCAGGCAAGCGGGGTAAGGTTGTCAGTTCGAGATGCTCTAATTTCTCGTCTTCGTCTTCGATAACGATTCTCAGTGTCTCTAATGCTGGAATGCTCCTCTCTAACAGACGAGGAAGGTCTGGTAGTAGCTTGCTTGTCCCGAAGAGTGACAAAGAACTGATTCGCCATGCATGGACAGACAACTCGACGGGAAGAACAGAGACGGGGATGGCGACGTTTGTGGAATGTTGGTCGACGTCCAAATGAATGAGGCATGGGGAGGACCTCTCGAGGAGAACAGCCACATCTTCGAAGGGTAGTGTCACCTCCGAGATGTCCTTAGCTCTGACCATCACGGTCTTCGCGTAGTTGAAAGACAGGTTTGAGACCGCTGTCGCCCAGAACTGAGGCGCGGACAGGTATATGGAGTGCCATCTCCGGCATACAGACGTAAGACGGACACTTCGTCGGTCTTGCCACGTCTGTCCGAGGATTCTAATCAGCAGCTCGGTGGGAAGCGTGTTGATCGGTGCGGCAGCGTTATGGATAGAGAGCATAGCGTAGGAGAGGAGACGGTACTCCTTCGACTTTCTCAGCGTCAAGGCTCGGATATCGTCGCGGCTGAGCCCAGCGAGAACAGCACGGTCTGCTGCAGGCACCGACGACGCGAACTCGGGGAAGGGCAGCGTAGAGTCAGAGTGGCGGCTAATCATCTGTCGCGTTGCTGGGACGCCTACGTTGTCAGATCGGCACTCATATGAGCAACCCCATCTGCCAGTGACTAGCAAATGTATAATCTGACCTTGAGTCTCGAGTAATCGGTGGTGGAAGAGATTGGACCGAGTCGCAAGTTTGCTGCCATTCCAAGCGGGCTAGTGTGTGCGCCTAACACACGTGACCCAATGCACCCCTGTCTTGGCACTGGTCTTGATCGGCACTTCCACTTGCTTGCACAAGTAACCATTGATATCCACCCAGAGTCAGGCTTCGCTGTGGGAGAATAGAACAGACTCCCGACTCTTTCAGTCCGTCTACGATCTTGGCAGATCACAGCGATGGATGTGGCATCCGAGTTTCACCACGTTCCGGCACGACCGAAAGTTTTGCGACAGTGCCATATCTGATGTTCCTCACCGACTCAAGGCATGAGAACGATGGTCTCAAAGGTGGATGTCGGAGGTGACAATGTTTGTGCAACAATCATGGTTCGTTCGCATATCTTCTATGAGCGTCGACATACTAGTTTTATATGAAGGTTAATCCTGCAGAACTCAAGTCGGTATACCCGCGTTCCAGATGTGTGGTGAGTCGTTCTCACTGACGTTTGCCGGATTGAACAGGGTAGTTGCGTGAGTCGACTGATCTCGAGGTTGACAGGCGCTTCCTCACCACCACGGCACCGGGCGAGACCGTTGTGGGATTGAATGGGCTCTTGAGAGTCATTGACTCAAGGTACTATGTCATGACCATCTTCTCTTCCGCAGCGTCTATCGAAAAAGACAATGTCACAAGACTCCATCCGGGAGCCAGAAAAGCCACTTCCGGCCACGGCAGGATGCTGTCAGGACGTATTGCGTCCGAGATCGAAGGCCGTGCGTGGGTCTATAGGATTTCGGCCATCGTGTGCACAATCCGAGTAGGCTTTGTCCGAACCGAAGAAATCCGACAAGCTTGTCCAGGCCGCGCTTCTTCGCCGCAGCTAGTCAATCGGGTCAATCGAGCCCTTTCTACGGCTTCATCGACTGCTCCTACACGGTAAGCCTCATATCTACCTGATTTGGCACTGTGGACGCGCTATGAGCACATCTCTATATAATCGAACCCTCACTTCAGTCTCCTGCAACGGTCTGCAGACCCTCTAACAGAGCTCTCGTCCTCTCTATGTCCTCTCAAGTTCTGCAGGCCGCCGTGACCTGTGTTGTGTGCTGGGTGCTATGGAAGTACTTCCGCCAGTTCTTCGTTAGATCGCCTCTCGACAATATTCCAGGCCCTCCTTCGGGATCTTGGCCTTACGGTGCGTTCAGGGTCTTCGCATGCAGTGATTGTCTGATCTCGAACTTGCTCCCTAGGAAACCTGAAGCAGATCCTCAACAAGAACGGCTGGGATTTCATCCAACATCTTACGGATAGCTATCCCGGCATCGTGAAGCTCCATGGACCGTTCGGGGTATGTTCTTGTGCTGAGTACTGTCGGCCGTCCATCAATTGCTGATTGCGGTCCTATACTGGCATCGGATGCTCTACGTTTTTGACCCCATCGCCTTGCACCACATCGTGGTAAAGGACCAGAACATCCACGAAGAGGGCGCATGGTACATCAAGTGGGTCTCCCGTGTCGTTAGCCCACATAGTATCATCTCTAAACCTTTCCGGAAGGTTCAACCGTCTGCGATTCGGGCCGGGACTTCTGGCCACTTTGGGTCCGTATGCCCATTGCAAGGCCGATGAAGATTGTCGCATTGACGACCGCCATACGCAGGTGATCACCACCGCAAGCAACGCAAGATGCTCAATCCGGTCTTCTCCCCCAACCACATGCGGCGCATCATCCCAATATTCGACGCAGTATGCCGCAAGGTCTGCGTCCACCGACCCCGCCCCCTGCCATGCGAGTGCTGATTTGATTGGTGTGGTGACGACAGCTGCAGAAGGCCATCGGGGACCGCATCGGCGGACACGACGAGCCAGTCGAAGTTGACATGCTGACCTGGATGAGCCGCACCGCGCTCGAGCTGATAGGTCAGGCCGGCCTCGGCTACTCGTTCGATCCCCTCGTCTCCGACTCCTCGGACGAGTTCGCGGCCGTCATCAAGTCCTTCGGGTAGGTTCTTCTCCGCTCACCCACGGCGCTGGGATCGTGTTCACTGATATCCTAGGCCCGCTCTGGTCAAGATGAACCACCTCCGCCGCATCCTGCCGTACCTCCCCGAGTTCGGCACCGCCGCCTTCCGCGCGAAGCTCGTCGAGCTGTTCCCGCACGACGGGGTGCACGAGGTGAAGCGGTTCATAGATACCATGCACCGTCGGTCCGTCGAGATTTATAGGGGCAAGCTCCGCGCTCTGGAGCTCGGTGACGAAGCGGTCGCAAGGCAGGTCGGGGAGGGGCGTGATATCATGAGTATCCTGAGTGCGTGGGTTGTTTCTTTTGTGTGCCACGGGCAGAATTCATGCTATGCGTACAGTTAGAGCAAACATCGCGGTAGCGGATGAGGACAAGCTTCCCGAAGAAGAAGTCATCGCACAAATTTCGTACGTCCGCGCTATCGCATCGTGCATATCATACGGACGAAGCTGATTGACCCGCCCTTCTAGCACGTTCATCTTCGCAGGAATGGACACGACATCCAACGCGCTCGCCATGACGCTCATGCTCCTCGGAGACCATCTCTCCGTCCAGCAGAAGCTGCGCGACGAGATCCTGAGCACGTTCGACGACCAGGACCATTTCGACTACGACAAGCTCGTCTCCCTGCCGTACCTCGATGCGGTCTGCAGGGAGACTCTGCGACTGTGAGTCGTGGCCGCATGTCTTAGCAACTGCAACTGTTCATCCTCATACTCTACGATCTAGCTATTCCCCCGTCACCCAGATCTTCCGCGAGTACGTTCCATCTCCTCCTCTATCAACTTGGTGATGACTATCGTTGCCGACTGCTCGTAAGGTCCCGGCGTGACGTCGTACTGCCCCTCTCGGAGCCGATCAGAGGCGTGGACGGCAAGATGATACAGGAGATTCTGGTCCCGAAGGACACGACGATCGCCGTCGGGATCCTCTCTGCCAACCGTAACAAGGCGATCTGGGGCGCGGACGCGATGGAGTGGAAGCCTGAGCGTTGGCTGTCCCCTCTCCCAGAGTCCGTCGCCCAGGCGAAGATCCCAGGCGTGTATGCGAACTTGTGAGAGCCTTTCTCTGCGTCGCTGGATCATTTCGTTAAACGATCATTCCTATATGACAGGATGACGTTCTCGGGCGGATCGCGCGCATGCATGTAGGCACCCTCCCTCTCCGTGAACCCTTGGAACGTCCTGACGGGTGTCTTGGTCTTGCAGAGGCTTCAAGTTCTCGCAGCTCGAGATGAGTGCGTTCTTTGCTTTTTGCTTCTTTCTGTCTGGGACGAGCACTCACCGGATGCTCTTTTGTCTTCGTCAGAAGTCGTCCTGTGCCTTCTCCTGGCGAAGTTCACCTTCGCGCCCTCTGGGAAGGAGATCAAGTGGAACTTGTCGAACATCAGGTTTCCGACTGTCGGTGACGACCCCAAGCCGTCGATGCCGATGAAGGTCGGCTTGTACCAGAAGGCGGCGGCTGAGTGATTGCTGTTCCGGTAGGGGTTCAAAACGAGGAAGGCGTAGTCTGTTTCTCTAAGCAATCTGAAGCATTACGAATTTGAGATACGAGCTCCAGCGAATGCATCTACTTCTATCTCCCGTTAAACGTACGCAACCACACTTTGAGGATGTCAGCGTACGCAGTATTTCCATGTCGTTTGTCAAACGTGCGAAGCGGTCTCGTCGACTGAGTAAGCCACGAGACACAAACTCAATCCCACCATCAGCGCAGCATCGCTTTCGTTCGCCCTAGGCCTGCAGTCGATCCCATATGACCCAGCGCAATGACGTCAGCCAATGTCCTCCTGTCTTTAAGACGGCCTCCCGCGTTCGCGCGACATGTCCGTCCTTGCCAACTTGCTTCGAGCTTCCACAGCACGCGCCTCCCTGCTACCACCGAGCACCGCAAAACAATCCACCCTCCTCACCCGCAGGACCCTCGCGTACACCACCATGAGCCGCCCCGAGAAGAAGCAGCGCACCGAGGACTACGTGCTCTACTACGTGCGTCCCCTCCACGCCCTCCGACATTGATAATGCCATGCGGACCCCACACTAACCCTGACCCGTACCCGCCTGCTACCCGCACCAGTGGCCCGGCATCCCCGGCCGCGGCGAGTACGTCCGCCTCGCGCTCGAGTACGCCGGCGTGCCCTACACCGAGCACCACGCGGACCTCATGCCCACCCTCTGGGACGCCGCCAAGATCGGCGCCCCGCCCCACTTCGCCCCGCCCGCCCTCCAGCTCCCCTCCGGGCGCGTCGTCTCCCAGACCGGCGCCATCCTCCACCTCATCGCGCCGCGCTGCGCGCTCGCGGGCGCGCACGGCTCGCAGCTCAACACGCTCACCGCCGACGGGCGCGCGAAGATCAAGGACCTGAGCGACGCGGAGCTCGAGCGGGGCGAGGAGGAGCGCGCGAGCGTGACGCAGCTCGTGCTGAGCGCGCTCGACTGGCAGACGGAGGCGCACGACGTGCACCACCCCGTCGCCTCCGCGCTGTACTACGAGGAGCAGCAGGCGGAGGCCGCGCGCGCCGCGGCGCTCTACCGCAAGGACCGCCTCCCGCGCTGGCTGAGCCACTTCGAGAACGTGCTCGCGACGAACCCCGAGACGGCCAAGGACGCTCCCAAGGTGTATCTGGTCGGACGGCAGACGACGACGGCGGACCTCGTGCTGTTCCAGGTCCTGGACGGGCATTTGTTCGCGTTCCCGAGGCGGATGGCGCAGCTGAAAGAGGGCGGGGAGTACGCGAACGTGTTTGCGCTGCATGAGCGCGTCAGGGGCGAGAAGGGGATCAAGGAGTACCTCGCGAGCGACCGCCGGCGCAAGTACAGCAACGGCATCTTCCGGCACTACGAGGAGCTGGACGGGGAGGAGGAAAGCAAGTAGGGACACCGGAGGCGAAAACAGAGTGTTTACCCAACCTGTACCAAAACTTGAACGCACGTCCACTGCTCGCAGTCGACATTCGCGTTAGTCCATCGACATGTACATCAGTCACGGTACCGTTAACAAGACCTTGCTTCATCCCATCCAGCCCCCTGGGCCGAACCAATGAACCACCCACCCCGCACTCACACCATGCCAACATGTCTGAGGCGGAGAGGAAGGAAGCATAATATGGACAATTACATATACATATACACAGACCGCCCACCGATGGCGCGCCCGAGCGCATACTGACCCATAACCTATACCCCACCCAGGCTGCACGCACGCACGCACGCACGCACGCGTTTTCTCCCGATCCCCAGTCCCGCGATCCATCCACCAAGGCAATGCAAAGACCTCCCCAAAACGCACCCAAGCCAAGCCACGTCCGTCGCGCGCGCAGCCCGCAGCCCACGCGAAACCTCTCCCGCGACCGTGGCCACGATCACTCGGCCTTGCCGTCCATGACGCGCCCGACGACCTGCCCGACCCAGCGCTCGAACCGCTCCTGGTCGAGCACCCCGCGCTCGTCGAAGAACTCCGTGAACTTGCGCTCCTCGCTCGCGCGGCCCTTGCCGAGGAGCGTCTTCCCGCCCGACGCCGAGCGGACGTACGCGAGCCCGAGCGCGTAGCCGGGGGGCGATGAAGGGGTGGAGGGCGTCGTCTTCGCGGTGATGGTTATCCGCTCGGTCACGATCTGCATGCGGCGTGCCGTGTGCGGTGAGCCACGTAGGTAGACATGGACAGAGGAACTCGGTGAAGAGCGAAGAGAAGGGATACGCACGCGCTTGTCGAACGTCTTTCGCCTGCCGACGAACACGGTGTCGCCCTCGATGAAGTACGCGTACAGTGTTTGGGTGATGGTGAGGATCACGTATCTGTCAGAGGGCATTCCGTCAGCGATGCGTCCGCAGAAGCAAGGGCACAGGCACACAGCCAAGCGGGAGAAGGGTGGTAACGGGTGCAGTTCGTTCCGCCAGCCCCCTCACGAATGGAGCCTCCTGGCTCGTCGCAGCAAGCCACCTTGCGCTGTTGGGATGATGTTTGGGCCGAGTGACAGTGCTAATGACGCAGAGGCGTCCTGGCATGGAAGTGATCGCGTACATGACCGCGAGAATGGTATGGACGATAAGGGAAGCGCTCGCCCACATCTGCCCACACGACCACCTCGGTTCTGAAGACGGCGTTGGGGATTGAGTGCAAGAGGTCCAGGATGGAGGTGGAAAACAAACAAGAATGCGGATGGAATGACCGTCTTACAGAGACGCGAGATACCCGGTCTCGAGGCAACAAGAGGGAAGAGTTAACGGAGGACAGACTTACAAGATGACACCTGCCCATACCGCGGGCTTGCTTTGCTCAAATGGTACACGCCAGCCATAGAGACCTGTACCGCCTGCTATGAGCACAGAAAGCCAACCGAGGGCCAGCCGGACGTCGGTGTGGGTGTGGATTTGCTTGAAAAGATCCGGTCGGGAGAGGAACTGCAGAGCAACAACGCATCAGCACTATTACGCTTGCCGCACAAAGCAGAAAACTACAACAGAACGACTGCTTCGATAGAGCACGGATATGGCAGGTGGGTAGAAATTTGGTGATCGTCGAGGACACGTTGTGGTGCACGCGGCTGGCCACGCCTCCATTCTACATCAATATGCGCACTGCGACGCACGCGATCATAACCCTCGAAGAGCAATAATGGGCATGATACACGTCTACGGTGTGCTGTGTGTTCAATGTGCCTAGGGTGCAGCGGGCAGAGGGTCTCGTGTCTTCCAGGGCACGATAGCGGGGCCCCGCTGCCCCGTGCGCCTATGCCGCAAACACGCTGGTGGTTGTGGCCGTCAAACAGCACATACCCCGCTATGAACCACCCGCAGTCTGGGGAGAGAATAAAGACGACGGGCGCAAGGAAATACGCACTCGTTTGAGGGCGTCGTCGCATGCATGCTTCATGTCTGCCACGCTCGCGTTGTTGACCTTGACCTCTTCGCGCTCCTCGCCAGCCACGGGGACCAAGAGCGCGTCGATGCTCGACCTGTGGGCCACGCTCGAGTCGTCTTTTGGCGGCAGCGGAGGTGCCGCGTCTGTGTCGGATGTCGGGGGTGCGGGTGAGGGTGAGGGACCGGACTTGGGCGAACGCGGAGCCATGGTGCGTAGTGTGTGGTGGTACTAAGAAGGTGTGGTTTCTCGTGAAGAATGTGCGTGCAAGTCGTTCGCGAACGCAAGTTCTGAGGTGGTTGGGTGGTGTAGTGCCTCGCGAGGCCAGCTATCGCGTCACAAACGACCAGTTACGAGCAAGCGAGAGGCAGGAGGGAGGAGAGATGACGGGAGGTCGGAAGCACGACACGACGACAGTACATGCACCAATCCGGAAAGACGCGCTCCCGCAACGTGGCCCCCGCTTAGCACGCCACCGGGTTTGGTTCAGCTATGCACCAAGCGCCTGGTCCGGTTTGGGGGTACGGGTTGGTTCGGCTCCAAGCAAGTGTCATTCTGGCTGACGACCGCGACGCGGCCAGTGTCCAATCATGGCGCATCTCGCGAGACGCGAATCGTCCCACGTGAGCGCAGGGCGGTCGTATAAATCCTTGCCTGGTTGCGGTTCTTACCCAGGCTCCCTCTCACCGTCTCTGCCAGCCAGCTCGGTGCACGACATGACCTCCAAGAAGTCTGGAAACAAGGCAGCGCAAGCACCGGACGCCTCCGCGACGCTGCGGAAATGGGCGACACGGGCCGTGATCGCATTTGTTGTCTACGTCACTTGCAGTTTCCTCGACCGTATCAAGGTATGTACACCCTCCTCTCTGTTTCCCTTGCACACACTCCGTATGGCTGTAAGACGCATTGGGACGAGAATCTGTCATCCTCACAGGACAAGGAGGAGGATGCCGTGATATCTAACACGTCAATCGAGTTTCCTACAAGGGGTGGTAGCTTTCCCGCTTGAATGCAATCATTTGCGCGGAGCTTTTTGTTTTCGAGTTGCGGAGGTATTCGCGCGAAGCCCCGTAACGGGCGCGGCCAGTTGGCGGTGGCCCAGCACAGGTCATGAAACACACGACTCAACGAACATTGTCACTCGCTCTACGTGCGTCACGATGAAACATGGAAGGTCGTGCGCGAGAACGCTCCCATCCGTGTACACGAAATTCACCATGCGCAGCTCTACCATACAACATTTGGTCACCGGTCTAGCCTGTGCCCTCTTGCATACAAGCACCCGCACGCACTTCAGATAGATGCTCACTCTCGATTTTATTCACAGGACCGCTGGTACGTCTTCGACCCCAAGGCCCTCCACGCCCTCGCGCAAGACGCAGTGAAGGCGCACCCGGACGATATCAACGCCATCATCCCGTACATCGTCTCCAACCTCACCGCGGAGTACCCCGCGTCCGCGATCGCGCTCAACACGAACTCGTCCGAGTGGGTGCTCAACAACGCGGGCGGCGCGATGGGCGCGATGTACATCATCCACGCCAGCATCACCGAGTACCTCATCATCTTCGGCACGCCGCTCGGCACGGAGGGCCACACGGGGATGCACACCGCGGACGACTACTTCAATATCCTCGTCGGGGAGCAGTGGGCGTTCGACCCGCCGAAGCTCGAGATGGAGCGCTACCGTCCGGGCGAGGTGCACCATCTGCCTCGGGGGCACGTGAAGCAGTACAAGATGCACGAGGGGTGCTTCGCTATGGAGTATGCGCGTGGTACGTGTCGTGTCCCTGCATGTTGTAGTGTCCGTGTTTGGGCGTGGTCGCTGATGTGTCCCCTTCGTCATGTGTGCAGGTTGGATCCCGCTCATGTTGCCCTTTGGCCTTGCCGACGTCTTCTCGTCCACGCTTGACTACTGGTCGTTCTACCACACCGTCCGTATCACCGCGCGCGAGAACATCCGCAATTTGCTCATCGGCAAGATCTAGACGTCTAGACACGTCCATGCTTTATGTAAGGATTCATGCAAAAGTAATGCAGTTAATGTAATGCGTGTTACTGCACAATTTTATAATCAGTGGACGCGAAACCTGTTCGGGACGGCAATCATCGTATCGTGTGCATGATGTCGGGTGGTATCGTTATGTGCGAATCAGCGACGTATACTCCGGGTGTTGGTAGGCCGTCAGTTGGCCATATGTATCCGTGTGGGCGCCCGCTCGATAAGTAAGTTCACTGCCTTGCCCACAACAGTACGATTGTGCTAACTAACCCAGTTCTAGTCCGTCGCCTTATTTGAGGCGGCACTCGGTTCACATTGTTAGGAAGACAGGATGATGATACTGTCTTGATTTCGTGTCCCGACTCACAGTTCGCCTCGATCTTGGTGAAGCACCGTGGGTGGTAGTCGTTTCTGATGGCTCTGATCTTGTACAGCTGGGGTTACATATACACACGATACCACAGCGCTGGAACTTGGGACTCCGAAGCATAGCGGCGAATTGTTGCCATCGGCTTCATCCCTGCAACTGGTAGCTGAAGCACTCAAGGCGAATCGCGCCGACCAACTCAAGTTGGATATAAATTCTAGGCGCAGTCTCGCATGCTCATCGCCCACTCACCCTTGGCTGAGTGATCATCCATCCAGCTCTTCCTATCCCGATCCTTCGGTCTTGTTCTACCAAGGCGACTATGTCGGTACCAGAAGTCGTAGTGTCAGTGAATGTCTTTCTGTTTTGGCTCCATTCTTCGACAGCTCACGTTACGCGTGCTGCACGCCACATTAGGTCGCAAGAGCACATTTCTTCCTCCCTAAGCCTCGGGAATGGCGTCGAGCTTGGGTATCTGGACAGCGGCGCACCCGAACAACAGGTGTACACCACCATCTTCGCCATTCATGGCATGGGTTATCATAGTCGTGAGTCCGGACGATCTTCACCTCGAGGGCACCCCGCCTTACGAATGTTGCAGCTGTGTTCCAGAAGGTTATTGCGCTTTCCCCCGCCGTGGGTATCCGCTTTGTAGCTGTTACGCGTCGTGATTACAATGGGTCAACGCCGTACACGGCCCACGAACTGAACGCGCTCCGAAACGGCTCCGACTCCGACAAACAAGCCTTTCTACGGGCGCGGGGGCTGGAGATTGCTACCTTCATCGAGCGGTTCATCCAGGAGAACAGCTTACCGGCTCCTACCTCTGACGGGAAGACCGGTGGTATCGGGATTCTGGGTTGGTCGCTGGGTGCTTCGTTCGCCGTCGCTTTGGTAGCGGACCTACAAACGTACCCGACTCCCACTCAGAAAACATTAGGACAATACCTGCGCGCACTACTTTTGCAAGGTATGCCAGGTTATCCAAATTGTCTGCACACGGACGCATTGACTAATCGCCTCGTAGAGCCGCCGTCTATCGCCCTGGGCCTTCCTCTTACCTCGCAGTCGTGGTCTCCCCAGATCGACACTAGTATTCCTGCCCGGTACCGTCAAACCGGCTTTGTTCAGTGGATCACCTCCTACTTCGAGCATGGCGACCTCTCGACGCGGGACCCGAACGTGCTCGAATACGTCCTACCCACCGTCAAGCGCGTTCCAAGCGTGTTCACCATGAGACAAGATCAGCTTGGCGAGATGACGAACATCGACGCTGCGAATGGCGGCGATACCCTCATAGTGGTCAGCTTTCCGCCGCAGCTGCGAGCTTGCTACAAGGATGCGTTGTATAACAAGGACATCCGTGCCGCTCTCCCTCGCATGAACGTTCTCGCGTTCTCGGGTGATGCCACGGCCAATTTCGGCATCGTCGCTTTGTGGTCTGTCCAAGACGACGACGCCGCTGCTGGGGGCGGTTGGGTGGAGACTAAGATCGTTCCGGGCATAAACCATTTTGTAGGTCCCGGTGATAGATACCTTGGCCACGACTGATTTTCATCCTAAATAGGTTCATTGGGACGCCCCTCAGCTTGCTGTTGAAACTTATCTCAGCGTCTTCGATTGAAGTGGGCGAGTCACACGGGTTGGCATGCTGGCACACTGTTAGGCAAGAGTTTATATGAATAGAGCTGACGCTCTGGTTACGACACTATCAGACATCCACTCCAGGAGTTAGTGAAAGATACAATGCATGCGCCAAATATACTTGTATAGTTACACGGATTCGTCAGCATTCCCTATGTCGGAATGTCAAGGCTCATCTCTGTATGATCGCAAGGGGCAACTTGCCTACTTGTTGTGCATCTCGACAAAAGTGCCCGCCGCTCGGCGAGGTAACGGCGCTCAAGGTGACGCTCACATTGGCTTGTGTAGATGCCACCCGTTCGCATTCCCCAACTCCCTGTGATGAGGTTACATTTGGATGGCGGAAGATGACGTCAGAAATTTGTAGGCTTTGTTCGAGGCTAGCCTTGAAAAATGGGCGGTGGTTGAGCCTGCGTGGCGGTAAGGGTGTTCAATTCCAGTCCCGTGCTGAACTTTGAGGGTAGAAGCGGCTGGTACGAACAGCAACATGTATCCAACGAAGTCAACTGTAAAGCAGTAGTTTAGTAGTCAAATTCTTCCAACTCAGCATTCAGTACGAACTGCAGCTTGCGATGGTGAGCACCATACATGCCAGGAATGTCCTGACCTGCATGAAGGCAGCCTTGGAGAACATAATGAATACAAGGCCCGAATTATGCCTGCTGTAGGGTGACGTACGAGGATCAAACAGATGCCAAGGTAAAGCCTATCGGGAAAGCCTCAACAGAGATCGATATGAGATTCAAATAGGTATCTCTGCCACTCACGCAAGCGTGATCGCTTGCGAGAATCTCTCAATTGGGTGGCCATGCATGAATTACTAAACGAGCTCACCAGAGCCTACAACACAAAGGCATATCGTCCTCAGGACGGTGTTCATCCTGATCGAATAGGTAAGAGTAGTCCAACTCGTCACACTCGGACTGGCTCACCGTTCCGTGTTAGAAAGACCCGATCGATAAAAATAATGCCAGGTAGCAACCCCATCGAGAAAGTCCATGGCTACTGTGGCTATGAACAGGGCTATCCAGGCATAGTCCTGTGTAGCATTTCGACACAAGGCATGTCATGATTTGTGGATGAACCTACTGGGACAGACAAGGTAAGCAGCGACCGCTGTTGAATCCTGCAAAAGGGAAATCAATGAGTGTATCACAGACTCAAGGTGCTTTGAGAGACATTGAGACCAGAATGGCTGTGCGGAGGCCTGTCATTTTCAGGACAACACGAGGGAAACATGCCCTCACGTATTTTGGAACCTAAGCTGACCTATCTTAGATAACAATTGCCTTATGAGTCACATTTGTAGCTCACCGTCGACAACGGTTGCCAGAGCAATCTAGGGATAGTTAAAAGAGCTGCTCGCTGGTTGTCAAGGCCGAGATCCCACCATGATCCCAATCAGTCCCACATTCTTCCCATTGCTCACTTCGAGATACATTAGCAACCAGGTACCGCTCGAGCAGACATTAAATCACGCTCACAGCTGTACAACCGGCGTATCAACAATCTACGTAGAGGGTCAGCGATCGCACATCATCTTAGCAATTGATACTGACATTCGATTCAAAACAGACGTCACGATCTATGTAGTGACGTGGTGAGCTTGTAAACGTGCATGATGCGAGTGATTGCCCACGCACTGAAAGGGAAGCAGCTGTCTGTACCCCCTTCAGCAGTGTCAGACATACAGAAAAACAGCAACGGTACCAGCAGAGGCCTGTTGATTAATCGGGAGATCAGGAGTCATAGTGATGCCCACAACAGACCACTCACCATTCGGTATGAGTCACAAAGAGCTGTGCGAAAGAATCTTTCCGATGGGTCACCATGTTTTGATATGCTGCTAACCCGAAGAACCCCAGCTTTGTGGTCATGAACACCCTATTGGTACAGCGCGTTGAGCTGGAGAACAAATGGGTACATACAACTCTAAACAAGTCTGAACGCACCAACTGAGTGGAATCTGTGTTTTGCCGGGTATTACATGGCCTCTATAGAAACGTGAAGAGACAGAAGCTAACGCACCACAAACCGCAAGGGCCATTCATCCCCGCTCACATCTCGGAAGTAGGATAAGACCAGTATGGAAGCAATTCCCCAACACCTGTGGTGAAATGGTGCTAGTGAAACCACGCCCGCAGGGTGACTACGAATGACGTGTGACTCACGCAGAAAGAGCAACAGTGCCAATAAGGAGCACACCCAGTGAGTCGTCATAGACGGACATTGTCACGAGCTAGGTTGATGGGAGAGATCAGACCGATAAGAACGTGCAACGGATCTTTATTGTGCAATGGCGAGCGTCATTAGTGCAGCGCAGCTGGTCAATTTAGGTTCATCGCTGAACGTCGTCGTCATCTGTCAAATCAAGCGAGTTCGATGGTCACCTCATCAGCCTCGAGGATCTATCGCTTTGCATATAGCTTGCAGCACCGCACACGGCCAGATCTAGACGGAATGATCTAAAGACATCTGCTGTTGTTGTCTGTGACTCATCAACACGAGGGGAAGCGTACAGGAGAAACGTTAGAACACTGTGACGAGAGGGAATATCAATGATTGCATGAGCGGTGATTGAGCGCACTGCATACCTGTTGAGGGCCGGCATCGCCGATCGGGGATGTCGGGGTTCAGGCCTCAGGTTCAATCTACATAGACTCGAAGCAGGCAAAGCTGTGTTTACAATCTGTGCGATCTAACAATCCGGCCTGCAGTGTATGCGTCTTATATGCCCCAGATCCCCTCTCGCAGTTCTTTATTCGATACGCCGTGCCGCCAGACACTAGCCAAGGCCCAGTCGGCGGGCCACACGCAAACGATAGCACGCCTCCTTACCCGTTGGCGAAGGGCTCGACATTCAGCCTACGTCTCGGATGACATGGCGCAAGATGCAACTGCCGTTTAGTGTTCAGTAAGATGCGTCCAATCAACACCTATCATAGCTGTCGACAACCAAACAAGATCAATTGATAGAGGCTGGCAGAGTATTGCCAGTACTGTTACACTATGCCACCGGCATGTCCTGTGCAGGCACGTCAGGTTCATCTGTGACCGACCGAGCAGGGGGACCCACTAGCAACAGGCTTCCAACATCTTGCTGTTGCGTGTATCCAGGTAGACCCATGCCGCTACTCGAAACATCGAAATGTAAAGTGACGCCATCGAGAGTCCGCGTACGCGTTGCCACTTCGGGATCGCTGACTGTGTGCGGTGAGGCTGAGGTTGTATGATGAAAGACGACAACAGAAATCCCCATGCTCTGCTTGAGTCTGGCCTTCAAATTGAACGGTGATTGGAACTGCATAGTAGTAGAGTATAGGCGTCTCAGTTCTCATGTCGCGCATGTGGTGGTTAGCCGTGTGAGCTGAACTAGTGACGTACGGGAAAAAGCCGTCGGTCAGACGTATAAACTCTTGAAGAGGCTGTCGAGCTTGCGCAACTTCCTTATCAACGCTTTGATCCACCCCTCCGCGGAGATGACGCTCTCCGCCTCTTCTCTCAGCGGCTCCATGTACTAGATATATGCGGCAAGGTTGTATAACGCATGTGTGAACGCCTGCGTCCAACAGCGCCAACGTTAGTCACCACTTCAACCCAGTGACAAGTCGCGTTCGAGACATACCCACTAAGCGTATGGATCGCGTCAAAATCCACGAGCAGCACGTTCTCGACAATCAAAGGCCTCCCGTTCGCACGCGCTTCCTCGAGCACCCACTGGAGCATCAGGATGTCGCACGGCTTGTCGTCTCACTCTGCCCCATTCCCAGCCATCATCCACCGTCGCTCCTGGAGCATCGGCATGAGAGTATTTTTGTTCTTCGACACCATCGGTACCGCTTTCACGATGAGTCTAGGTAAAAACAAGTCACGCCAAGACTCGCTCAGCCGAGAAGGAAAATATGAGCAGGGTGCACTACGTACAGTTTGAGAAGTCAGGGAATATATCAAGGACGATACAAAGACGTCTTTCGTGAAGTTGATGGCAACTTCGAGATACTTCGGATCTTGACCTTGGCACGTCACATTCAACGAACACTAGCATCGGCACGGGCAGCGGGTGGGCACGAGGAGAGGCCAGGGAATCGGGGAGCGGGGCAAGGCGAAGTTGGTGCCATGAAGTCCACGACGGCGGCGGAGAGAGGAATACGCGAAACTCAGCGGCGGGCTGGGGCATGCTCTGACCGACTCGAGGAAACGTCCTACGTGCTCGCGCGGAAGGGTATTACTAGGTCGTCCGCATAGAGGTCCCCGTTCAACAGGACGAACGCGATCGTCGAGGAAGCCGAGGTGGGGTGTGGGCGTAGAGGACAACGCTCCAAGAAGCTGAGCACTCACGTTGCGTGCCAGTGGGATCAAGGTCGAGGCAGATTGTAGTTATTAAGTAGGAGTCTCGCTCCGGCTGCTGGCCGGTGCGATTGTCTGCATCACGTGGGTATAGGCGCCCATCATGGACGGCTCAGGTATATTTGTACTGCGGCCCTGCCAAGTTCCAACGGGTGGCAGTGAGCGGCCCCGGAAGCGAAGTTTTGCCCAACTCAACTGCTGTAAACTCCTCATGTTAGTGAAGATTCCTTTAATATCGATACATTCAGCTTCAAGTTGCACTACTGAATGCCGAGCGGGAGTTCCGCCATCTGGCACATCGCCGCCAACTTCAAGTTCAAGGGCTAGTACGCGTTCTTGTGTGGCTCGACTCGTGCTAAGGGCATGTGTGCTCTATTCATGGTGTCCGGACTACTACCATTTGCCAGGAGGAACCGCATTGTACGGATCGGAACCCCCGAGCTAATCCATCATCGGGACTAAAGGTCGCGCAAACGACGGGGACACTATGATCAGTGAGTAACGCCACGCACTCTCCATCCTCCACCGCTCATATCCTGTGCACTTCGTCTAACGAGCCAGGTGTCAACCTCCTTCCATTTTGCGAGAAGCGAGCTGCGTACAGGCTGTCCCTATACCCCCCAAAAAGTCCGGATCGACTCGCCGCTACGTTCCCAAGCCCCGAACATGTTCAAAGTTGTCAGCTACTGTCACGAGCTTCCTGGTCCTCGGAGAGAATGCGACTCTTGCAGCAAAGAATAAGCCCCCTGACCGGGGGCACTGCTGCCCTGTAGCAGTTCACAGCCCGGACACACCACTTTCGCTCGTCACTCGAGACTTCTATCAGACCATAGCAGGAAGTGGATCGCAGAAATGCAATCCAGAAGCATTGAGGTGATCTCAATTTCTAGGAGTCTGTACCGCACCTCGCGATTACCTAGGAATGGACATGACCTCGACTGTGATGGATAGCCGCGTCCCTATACAGTCCGAAATCATATACCATTCCATCTGTGCATTTACACCTGACCTCGAGTCAAAGAAGCTCAACGTTCACTGGGAGGCAGCCTCTTCGAACTTGAACCTCTCCAAGAGGTAGGTCATCAGAAAAACGTGCAAAGGTCTTAAAGTACCGAATAAGACCTTTAAGAGCTCTAAGACCTACCCTTTACAGTAATTCATGGGCGTTAGTGCACCGCCACCTCAGAGCTCTAAGACCTCAGTTAAGAACTCCTGTTGTTCGGGGTACACAGGCTGCGTATGACCTCCTAAGCCTCAATCAATATTGTGATCCAAGAGGGATAATAGATAGAAAGCCTCCCAAGAAGTTTGGAGCGAAACCGAACGCTGGACGCCGCTGGAGGCGCGGCGCAATTTGGCGGGCGGCGCAATTAAGAACTTTAAGACTTTCAGAACTTGCACGTTTTACTGATGGTCAGGATGACCTTGTACTGGAAGATGGCTGTTGCAGAAACAAGAAGGGAACTCAGCCGCACAATTGGGCGTGTAGGATGAACACCACGCACCAAGCCGATAACCAATGCAATTGCGAGGGCCGTCACTGAAGGCAAGGGTTTTCGCCCACCCGGAGCAGAGCTTCTCGCTCGGAGGAAGGTCCTTCAGCCAGCGCTCAGGTCGGAAGACATCGGGATCTTCCCACACGGAGTCCATACGATGAATCGCGATGCATAGGATGACGACCACCTAGTTTCTACTCGTCAGTCATGCAATACTATTAGCATATAAGTGGAGCGAACCTGGCCAGGAAGGACCGGAATCTGGCTCACGACCTCGCCGTTGGAGAGCTTGACAGGTTCTCCCAGAGGGATGCTGTCGGGCACAGTCACAACACGTTCGATGTACGGAAGGCCAGAGTACAGTCGCAGTCTAATGACACTAGTTGAGTAGTCTCAATCATGGGAGCTTTACAGGCAAACTCACGTCTCTCGCAAGACGGCTTCGAGGTAAGGCAGACGCGCCTGGAAGTCATCATAGGTTGGTTCACCCTTAACTGCTGCCAGCTCCTCATGTAACTTTGCTTGTATCTCAGGATGCCGAGAGATGATAAACTCGGGGCTGTGAAGACAAAGATTAGATCCGACTAGAGTCGAAGCAAGATCTTCAGTCAGTAAGGAAAGACTATATTGCAGCAACGAACTGTACCTAGAGTCGAAGCAAGACTACAAAGGATCAAGTAAGTAACTACAAGTTAGAGGTAGATATAACGAAGTACTCACTCTTCAGTCAGTAAGGAAAGACTGAAGAGGGAGGACGCAATCTGAAGTCCTTATATACTACAGAGAAGTGTCCATGACTAATCGAAGAGTGGTTAGTCACATGTACCATAGTGCGATGAATAATACAACGACGAAAGAATTGCGACGTATCGCACCATAGGATGAGTAATAAATGAGTAAGGCATAGACCTGTCTAGACCATTCTGGAGTAGTACAGATTGTCCTAGACAGTACCAGAAGAGTCCGGAAGCATAGCTATAGTACACGAGCAGA